TCTAATTCTCCTCATGCTCCCTTTCAAACCCACTGTGAGAGCTGCTTGTAAGTATACAACAGCTTGGTTGGCTAATGGGTTTCCACATAATCTCTACATTGGGTTGGGTTGGGGGAGGCCAAGGGGGGGGTATCCTAACCTAGAAGTTCTGTAAATACAGAAGCAGAGATTTGTCATTAGGAAAATGTAGACTTGGCTACTTTAGTACTGGTCCTGTGAAGAGGTATCACTATTGAACTGGCCTGTATGACTTATAAACTATCATTAGATTTTAGCCTGTGCAGAGAAGCTTACAAAAGCATCACATACCCTGTTGATTCTTGCCTGGGAAAGAAATACAAATTTGATGGAAAAAGGTGGAAATGAGTATTTTTCATCTCTCCTTTATTAAAACACCGATAGAGACATTCATCAGCACTGATAGTTATATGAAACTAAGTATTCCAAATTCTTTCCCTCTGTAAATCATGACTTACATCTGATTTTGGCTGGGTAGAGATTCACTAACAAGGAGATGAGAATTTATCTCTAGAATATACTAGAATATTAAAGAAGAAGCCCGGGGCAGAGCAAGTACCAAACGTACAGAGGTAGAGAGAGTAAATTGCTTGGGACGAAGGAACTAGATAACAGAAGGGATCATATAAGGAGTCTTTAGGAGACAAAAGTTTGACCAATAAAATGAAAATACAAGTTCTATTTAGAGGAGACAACTCGGTAATGTCTCTGAATTCATGAACCATATAATTTGTCCTTTAATGCCTTGATACAATGAAACAATTTTTTTTCCTAAGCAAATTCAGTCACCCAACCTCCTGAGTAAGGTTCATGTTCTGAACCATAGTTACTTCAATCCCATTTGAAAAATAATTAGAAAAGAGACTTGGAAGTAGGAAATGGAACATCTCCTGAGTAATACTAGGTCCAGTGCTAAGCACTTTATTTCATTTTATCCTAAGTGAAAATCCTAAGAAATACACCTCATCTCCCCAATTCACTTTGTGGAAAATGAGGCTGAGAGGTTCTCTGCCAGAAATCCCACACGATGAAGCTAGGATTCAAACATGGGCCTAATTCTGAAGTTTGTGGTCTTTATAAACCAACATGCTGACTCCCCTAAGTGAAATGTTAGAGGTGTCCTAGCCCAGGTCTTAATGACAGAGGAAGAAGAGGAGGAAAGAGAAACCCCTGCTGGGACATTTTTTTCAAAGATATCCTTTTGTCTGGTCAGGAAGTGGAGTTTTCCCATGATAATTAAGTATCAGGAGTTGGGAATGTGGCACTTTCTCTGACTAGATTTTGAGGGAACATTTCCCATGGCGATTTATAATACTGAGGATGAAAGAATCATTCATTTTCCAGGAGGTGAAACTTGGGGGAGACTTTCTTAGGCTTGTGATACTGGGTAAGGTGTTAGGCTGGAGTGTGGAAATTCGTTCCAAGTGTGCTTCTCAGATGCAGCTCTGGTCCCCAATCTACAAACCCCCGCTTTTCTATGGAACACCCTGCTGTCCCATGTGCCATCAGAAGCTTTGCAGCCATGGTAAGACTGGATACAATGGTTTGGGGTCACAAAGAAGGAGAGGAATGAGCACAGTCGAATTATTCTCAACTACTTGTATCCATAAGAGGGTATCAATAAGGGAAGGAGGAAGGACTCTTGGGAAGTGGGTGCTTAGCAGATTGGTGTTGTTTCCTGGGGAGGTGGATGGGGTGAAGCAGCAATGGGATGCATCTTGAACTTAAGAGAATCAGGTACTCCTGGATGTTAAGAATATCAGGACCAAAGGCTGATGTCTCCAAACATGAACTATTTTACCTTTTGGAGATACGGCATTTTGCAGATAAAGGTATGAAAGCAGTGTAAGTATTTTGGACAAGAAAGAAACACTCCTTCTTGATCTCTTTGTCACTTCGGGTTCTCAATCTGGGCAGAAAGATACTAAGTGAGGAATGGCAGAAACACCCTGAAACCGAGTCCCTAGGCACAGGATGACTTCTCTGCCAAATATCTCAATCAGAGTTAAGATGCTGTGCCATGATGCACTGAAACAGGGACAGGGCCCAAAGTCATGGCACTCCTGAGTTTTAGCCTCTGTTGTTTATCAAATCACTCCTATAGCTTACTGATTTAGCTATAAAATAAGGAGAAAATGAATGTGACCCTCTAGTCTTTAAGACTCAAGAGCAAGATGATTTTCCCTCAAGAGTTAACTTGTTTGGGGAGGATGGTAGACATTCTGCCAGCTAGTGGTCATATTTCAGGGTTTGTAGCTAGGGAATCAAAGAAACCGGCCATCCCACTGCCCAGCTTCTTAGGGATGCCTGATTTTGAGAACTGCAGTTTTATTCCAGGGGCCAGGTTATCAGTAGCTGCAGCAGAGGGGAGAAGGCCAAGTACTCCCTGCCTTGAGAAGGAAGAGTGGCCACCTGTTGTCAAGTGGGAGGTTATCAATCTTGCCTCTCAGGATCTCTCTGGAGACACCCATGGGTGCCTAACCTCCAAGTTACTGTAAGAGGTTTTCTCCTGGTAAGCCAAAGTGAACCTCAAAGTGGTCATATTAGGAGTACTATTGTTGGAATACTAAGGTGAAGGAAAAAAAGTGATTTGATGAGGTGTGATGGTAGATTCACCCAAACCAAGGTCTCTGGACACTCAGCACAGTTAAGAACTGTCAAGAAACACAGGATGAAGTATGGCTGAATCTGTATCAGAAGCAAGCCTGGCGTTCAGAGTATGGGGAAAAGCTCTCATTCCCTCAAACTAGGGTAGGACCCAAGAGCTGAAGCCTGTGAAACCAGAAGGTAGCCAAGAAAGGTACGTTAGCTGCCAGTGACCTATGAAGGGAAGGATATAGAACCTCTGTCAATGAAGCCAAGACATCTTAGATTTTGGATACTTTAAGACCATGGACTCCAGGGACAGATAAAAGAAAAATAACCTAAATAGGAGCGGGTAAGAGCCCTTGGCAAACAGTGGAAGCCCCAATTTGAAATGGGCAGAAATGAGTTTGAACTTTTGTATGCACTTCTAGATGCTAAGCACAAGCAAATGGTCCTCACTAAGCAGGGTGGATTCTGGCCAGGAACGTTATTATTATTATCTGATATTTTTTCAACCATGATAAATTAAATTAGGTTCAGCTATTTAGAATTTGGGTATGATTTCTATGGACTGGTTTTCCAGCAAAGGGAAAGTTGATTACAATGGCCTGTCATCTGGGGACAAGTTTACTGGTAATCTATACGTGTCCCTGAAAACCTAATGATGTTAGTTATGAAAAGATCCAATGATGATGCATGGAAATCTCATCCCAAGAGAGGAAGGTCAGTGGTTACCATTTATTTAAAAAAGGTTTTGATGTTTTGAAAGTATAGAGTGGGGTGGTTGCTGGTCACTTTTCCCAACTTTGTTTTAGGAAAACTCAGTCAAGCCCATTCCCTCAGACCTCTGGTTTCCATTTCTGACACTCCTATTATTCTCTGGTTTTAGAGGAAAATCTGTGATCTTGCCCAGAAAGTTGTCCTAAGCAGCCTAGACAAAATGTAAGACTCAGCTGCCTTCCTGGACAAAGAAAAAGCGAGCAGTGCTTATTGTGACTATGTATACCTTTACCTCTCACTTGGAATATGTAATTAAAGTGACCCATGAAGAGATGAGGGAGACTGAGTCATCCTAGCCCACTCTGAAACATGTCCTGAGGGCGCAAAAGGAACCTGAAGGGTCTCAGAATGGGTGGTACTTGATAAAGCAGGGAAGTCTGCGCTCTTGTCCCATCAATAAGCAACAGATAGAACACTGAGATAGAATTAGAATGGACACAGACTTTACAGACACTATGATGTGGGGGTGGGGCAGGGGAGAAAGCATTTCTCAGGTTTGCCATTTATCTTCCTTTTGGAGATGTGAGAGAGTACTGGAAGAGGAAAAGGAACAGGTAGGTTTACATATCATTTAAATTTGTTTATAGGCCATGAATGAAAGATATGGAACTGTAACTGATCAATGAGTACAATGAAGAGTACAATTAGAAAAATTAGAGGTATTTCTATTAATATTTTAGTATTAACATTAAAATTGGGAGTACAAGGATTATAAGTTCAGAAAATATTAAAGTCCATGAATAGCTCATATTTCCACCTAACAGATGGTTGGGAAAGAAATAAGGAAAGTAAGTTTCATGAAATGACAACCCTTTCAAAATCCTGTCTGGTAGCATGATCTCACTTGAATGATTTGTTAACAAGTGCTATAGAGGTCAGTGAAAATATTCTCACAATGGCTGGAAATTTAAGCTTCACACAAGCATAAGCTTTCTTTTCATTTCAAACATAAAAATAGAAAATGTATGGAAATTTGCATATCTTTGACAAAGTTAAAAAGAAGCTCTTGTTCTCTTATAGAATGATGCCCTGGGCTCTAGATGAACTCCATATCAGGTTGCTTGTAAAATGAATCTGCTAGCATCTTTTCTTGAGGCCACCTAAAGTGTGATCACTCAAATATTAACTCAGACTCTACAACCTTAAAAGCAGCACTAACATACAAGCTTCACTGCTGATAACAGCAACGGGCTATTCTTTTCTACGAGTATATCCCTCCTTAGCTTTGCCCGATAAACCTGTGTTCCAGTCCAGGCATTATCTAAAATCTTTAAAGAACATCATATTCTGTATGAGCTCTTCAAAGGGTGAGGGTGTTTCCCTCCAAGGAAAATTGAGGTGCTTACCAAAGGGAAGGGAAAGAGAGACAGGCACGTGCCTCACTCACTTCTGCTCCTCCACTGTAACCTAGCACTGCACCTGGCACATAGGGGCTCCTTAACAAATGTAAAATGAGAGGATTAAATCAGATGGCTCAGAGGTTAAGACTCTCTGCGTCTTCAAACTTGACATATATCTTTGGCTCCTACTTACGTTTGACACATAGAGATGTATCTTCTTAAACAGTTATCCACCTTTGTTTCAGACGAGGAATTCTACCATTTCAAGTTACTGTCTCAGTATAACTGGATAACCTCATCCCACTCAGAAATAGGCCAGACTCCATTGGGCCGTACATTGGGGGGAGAGCGCTTCCAGTCCCATGTCTTCACGGGAATCTTCCAGGTCTTACCATAGTTGGCTTCAATGTAGTCAGTGGTTTCACAGGGCACATGAATCTTCATGTCTACAAACTCAGTCCAGCACAGTGTAAACTTGGGAAATAGGTACCTGCAGCAAAACAGAGGCAATGTAGAGAGGGGTTAGGCTCAAGAGTAAAAGTTTATCTCAGGAACCCAGTTGCTAGTGAACTTTGGGCTGAAGGAAAGGCCTCTCCCACTCAATAGCTTTGGGGACAGACATGGTGGGTATTTTGTTGTTTCTGACTGTCCAGCATCCCCTTCCTCTTCTATTTTTTTTTTTAAGTTTATTTATTTAGAGAGAGAGAGAGGGAGAGAGAGCACCTGTGCATGGGCAAGGGAAGGGCAGAGAGAGAGAGAACCCAAGCAGGCTTTATACTGTCAGCACAGAGTCAGACGAGGGGCTGGAACTCACGAATCGACTCGTGAAATCATGACCTGAGCTGATATTGAGTCAGATGCTTAACCGACTGAGCCACTCAGGCGCCCCTCCCATTCCTCTTCTAATGTTGACAGCACCTCCATTTGCCTCTCCTTATTCTCTATGGTTTAGGAGGGACTAACCCAACCCCCAGGCCGCTGAGGTACAAAGACCCAGGCATAACCAGTACATTATAGTGACTGGATCAGGGATGGGAATATACACAAATTAGGCAAATAAAAGTCAACTCTGGGATTTCCGTTGGGACTACTGGAGGAAAGAGGCATTCTTTTTTGCTGAGGTTTCTAAGCTGGTGAGATGGAAGCTGAGCATCTTTGTTATCTATTAGCAGAAAGAGCCTGTCTGAGAATGAAGTCAAAGCAAAAAGCTGCCAAAAAGTGGAGGAAAAATGATAGAGCTCAGAAAACCCCAGGGAAGGACTTGGATTTAGCTGTGGCCATTCCTTAAACATTTATTCCTAAATAAATCCATGAATATATAGATATTCTTTGTTTCCTCAAAGTTTTATTTAAATTCTAGTTAACTATTCCTTTTTTTTTACAACATTTCTAATACTTGCACTTCTTCATTTTTTCTTAAAGTTTATTTATTTATTTGAGAAAATGTATATCAGAGGGCAGAGGAGGGGAGAGAGAAATCCAAGTGCTCTGTGCTGTCAGGCAGACGAAGGGCTTGATCCCACAAATCTCAAAGCAAAGCATCACACCTGAGCTGAAATCAAGAGTTGGACACTTAACCGACTGAGCCACCAGGCACCCCAATACTTGCAATTCTTCATACATGGAGGGGAGGCATGTACAGAAGTGAGAATGGAAACAAAACCTTTCTAGTCAGCCAGACAACCTGAATCAAGCCACACTTAAGACAGCTTTCTGAGTAAAGCTTCACGCACCAGCCCCCTCCTCAAACGCAGGAATCGAGGTCTAATGCTTGGCTGTCTGCACTTCAACAATATCTCTCTTAATGACAGCTATACAGACCCATTCTTCCTGCCCTGCTTTTATTTTACCACTTGCCCCCCTCCTTTTTTTTTTAAATCTCTGTTCTCAGCCACAAACTTACTTTCTTATTTTTAATAGTTCACACATCATTAAATCCCCATCCAATTCAAACTACTACTGAAAGAAGCTGACTACACAACACTAAAATAAGCAACACATGTGTGAGGTGAATCTTCTTTTCTCTTAGAGCCTGGATTTCCCGAGGATATACAGCAAGCATGACTCCAAGATGCATTCCCAGGCTTCTGTCCCTTAAACCTATCTGTAGTTTCTGCCTTTCTTTCATCTCAAATGCTAAAGAACATCTCGACACCAGCCCAAGCAATATTACTTATAATGAATCTTACTCTGTCTATAGCAGAACTATTTTAACTAGCAGGTAAGTTTGAGAAATCAAACCAAAACACGTTTCTTAAATGAACTCTGGATCAGTAAATTAAATTCAATATATTACAAAGGAAAGCTAAAATGAGCAGGTTCATTAGGTTTAAGTTTATATTACAGCCCTATATTCTGTGTTGACGTTTTCTGAGGAATGTTTCTTCTCTTCACAACATGAAAAGAACTTTCAGTAATGAGATCTGAAGTGGCAATCGCAGAGATCACAGAAATTTAAAATATCAGAGGATTAAAGAAAAAAGGAACAGGAAAAAAGCCAGATGTCAAAGCATAATCACTTTGTAGAAATGGGATCTAGCTGGGATGTTCTCCAAGGAAAGGTCAGTTCTCACGTATTCTGCGGTTAAATATCATGTTTTACCACCAGATGAACGTAAAGCCATACATGAAAAGGAGAGGCTGAACAAATTCTAAAGAAAGCAACAAGTTCCTTCTACCCAAACCAATGGGTGCTGGCAGTTAATAGACAATCCCAGCTGGCTTCTGTGAAAAAACGGCCACAGAAAATCTCAGAGCTGAGGAAGAAATAAGATACAGCATAGCTCTACCATCTGCTGGTCCCAATTTTATTCTGCACACTCATATTCATGGAAATGCTTATTTTGTCATCAGACACAGCCATCCATCACTGGCCTCCACCCTCCCCTATCAGATTCTGGTCACCAGAATGTCCACCTGTCCTCTCCTATCAAGTTGACACACTGAAGTTGAAATGAGGCAGAAATTACGGTCTATTTTGTAACCTAGTCCAGGAAATTCTTCTCGTAAATATTAGCCTCTACAGTCTATCAAAGAAATGAACATAAGAAAAATCACAGGTCTGGGATGAGAATACCACAAATTTTACAACAGCAATATTTTAAACAATGAAATGTTCGAATGAACAAAACCAAAACATTAAAACTACATATGCAATGTTAAAAGTAATTCAAAGACAATTTAACCGAAACGTTCATTTTTGTTCCTGAATGGAAATACCCCTAAATCTTTGTGGTTTTCTTTTCACTTAAATAATTTTCAATTCGATCAGCAAAAAGAAAATTCCAGCTTCCTAGGAGAAGAGGAAAGGTAAACAAACCATAAAATGTGAAAACAGATTGTGAAATGGGATTGCGGAGAGGAAGAGGCGGGGTGGGTGACAGAGAACAGCACATGCCATGTGCTCTGTCCAGGTTACCAGTAAACACTACGACTGGACCACACCATGGGTCTGCGACCTTACCTTAGCTTTGAAAGCTAAGATTCTGTTTGGCTAAGCAGTTTGTACTTGAAAGCTCTGAGACAGGATCTAAAATGGGAACAGATTTCAATTCGAACCTAGTAAGTTCAAGGGATCTTTTCACATAAACAAAAATCCTTCCATTCACATTTCTATTTCATGCCACGTTCATTTTATCTTTGCATAAAATAGTAATTAGAATTAAGAGTTAGTTGGGAGTTAAAAAAAAAAAAAAGACAGAGATAGAGAGTTAGTTGGAGTAGACCGTTTCCATTTTTTTCTCCTCACAGACATCCTTACAATCTGTAAAACCACTTACTGGTGGTGGGATAAAGTAATCTCACCAGTTTAATTGCACAACCTATAGACATTGCTAAGTGAAAAACATTGCTGTTATTATTCCTAGGTAGCTAGGCTAAGTGAGACAGAGACACCATCAATTGTAACTGAATCTGACCTTTTTAAACATAATTTGCATTAGACTCTGAAGTTAAAACAGCAGAGCCATGGTCTTAAACAAGAATTTCCTGTAAAACACCACAAATGGTTTATTCTCATTATCAGTTTGGTCTCTTCTTTAATTCTTAATTTCTTTTTCTTGTGTTATTACAATGCCTAAGCCCTCTAGCATTTGGCTTAATGGAAGCAAGGATAGCACATAGTTTTTGTTTGTTTCTGATTTTAATAGAAAAGCTTCTAAAAAGTTTACCATCAAATATGATTGCTCACTCTAGGTTTTTGGTATATTCCCTTTATCTGGTTAAGGAAATTCCAGATCCCTTTTATTTCAAACTTGCTAAAAGATCTTTCCCTTCCCTTCTGGTTAATTATGAAATTTATCAAAAGTTTTTAATGTCATCTATTGAAACAATCATCAAAGGTTTTTCTCCTTTAATCTTTTAATCCTTTAATGTTGAGAATCACACAAATATATAGATACTATAAAATTTGATTTGTTGTATTTCATTTAAGATATTTTCATCTGTTCGACAATATTGTAATTTCCCTTTAAAAATTTTGTTGGCATTGTCCAAGTCTAATTTTGCTATCAATCTCAGACAATGAGTTGCTTAAAGCATATTTTTCATATTTTTCCTTTTTAAATTTTCTGAAATAGGAGATATAATATAGGGAATAATCTACTTTGTGAAGGCATGGTAAAACTTTCCTGTAAACTTTCTTGGCCTTTCATTTGGACAAGAGGGGGAAAGGAGAATTTTTCTTTTTCTTTTTTTAAATGTTTATTTATTTTTGAGAGAGAAGAGAGACAGAACGTGAGCAGGGGAGGGGTAGAGAGAGAAGAAGACACAGAATCTGAAGCAGGCTCCAGGCTCTGAGCTGTCAGCACAGAGCCTGATGCGGGGCTCGAACCCATGAACCGTGAGATCATGACCTGAGACAAAGCTGGACGCCTAGCCGACTGAGCCACCTGGGCACCCTGGAAAGAAGAATTTCTGATTATTAATTCAATTTCTTTCATGAGTATAAGTTTCCTAGATCTTCTTGAGTTTTAACATTTATTTTTCCCCAGAAAATTTTATCATTTTCGTATTACACCTTATTATCAAATTTAATGATTTAACGTCCCTAACATTTTCCTTTGGAAGTCAGTGTAACATAGTTAAGAGCATAAACTCTAAAGCTCTTGGGTTAGAGTAGTCAATATTTAATTTTACTCTTTTAAAAAAAATTTTTAAATGTTTATTTTTGAGAGAGAGAGACAAAGCGTGAGCAGGGGAGAGACACAGAGAGACAAAGAATCTGAAGCCAGCTCGAGGCTCTGAGCTGTCAGCACAGAGCCCGACAATGGGACTTGAACCCATGAACTGTGAGATCACAACCTGAGCCAAAGTCAGATGCTTAACAGACTGAGCCATCCAAGCGCCCTTTTTCTTTTTTTCTTGATCAATCTTGTTAGATGTCTAGTTTAATTTGCTAGTTTTTATTTTTTTTTAAGAACGAGCATTTGGATTTGTTGATCTTTGATACTATTTTCTATTTCATTATTATTTTTTTTTTCTCTTGGCTTT